TAGGGTTCCAATTTGCCTTAGAACTACTGAAGAAAGAAGCCAAGGCTAGACGGACATTAGGTTTTGATTGATTTGAAAAGGCCTTTCTATGAGAGTTTTGAGTTGAATTTTGGTAACTAAAAAAAGTACTATTCTAGTCCGTTGTTATAGCAGATATATCTGAGAATATTGGGAGGAAAGCAGTGGTACAACTTAACAGCGAATTTGGACCTAACAAGGCCGTTTTTGTTAAAACTGATGTTACAGATTACAATTAATTTGAGAGTACGTAAAAACCGATTGACGATATGCAAAGTTGTGATTAATTTCCTTCGCAATCAACCATCCAGTTATAGGTTGGGAGTCGCTTTATCTAATAAAGTTTTTTAGACGTATTTAAGAAGACGATCAGCGTGTTTCATAATGTCGATATTTTAATTAATAATGCTGGAATATACAACGATTTCCTATGGCAAAAAGAAATAGCTATCAATTTGGTAAGTGTTAATCTTTGCTTAGTTTATATATAGTATAAACCCTAGAAACATTCTAAGCATTAGGATGTTTGGTACAGGATTAGGACACATTCGTGGATGAGGCTGAAACTGTTTATCAGTTTATAATGCCAAACAGATTTACTGAAGTTAAAGCGTTTCTTAAGTGACTGAAAGTTTGGGTTGAAATATTTTTAATGTTTTGTTTTTTGCATCCGTAAGCCGAAATATTTTAGATTTATCAGCAAAAAATCGTTCTTTATCTCGATTCTAGCAGAATAAGAGCAACGTTATATTGCGATAGATATTTTGCAGTCTGAATTTTTGAGTATGTATATAGCAAAAAATGAGCTCATTGACTTTGTTTTTGCTTATGATTGATCCAGTCGCGCTCATTTACCTTGTAGGCCTCCATAAAATTCCACTCAGCATCCTTCAGTAGGCGTAATTGAGCCGGATAAGAAAAAGCGATCAAATTTTATTACCTACTGCTGGTTATTTAACTGAAATGAAAATAGCCACACTTTCATTTTATTAATAAAAAATACCAATTGCGCACACTCAGTAATAATTTAAACCATAATCTTAACGTGCGAGGACTTTCTAATCGGGAATTTTAATTTGTTGTAAACAGTTCGCTTCAATCCCTTTTGAAAGTCACATCGCTTTTTACATACGTTGTCGAGCACTTGTGGAGCCAAAATGAGCATCTTTGAAATAGCCGATAAAGTGGCCATTATTACAGGCGGAGCGTCCGGATTGGGACTGAAATATGCTTTGGAATTGTTGAAAAAAAACGCCAAGGTAAACGAGAATCCTTAGTTGGTTTTTATGATCCAATTAGAAATTTTTCTAAATAATTTCAAATCTAATTGTAGCTGAAAATGTTGTTTGCAATGTTGTGCTTTTTGAAATTATAGGCCGTTGTCCTAGCCGATATATCTCCGGAGCTTGGAAGCAAAGCTTTGCAACAAATTGAAAAGGAATTTGGCAAAAATAAGGCTATTTTTATAAAAACAGATGTCACGAGCTATGCACAATTTGAAGGTAATTTAGCTCCTTTTCATCATACAATAATAATAAACGCTGACATAAAGGCATGCGATAATGAGTGGTTAAAGAAGTTATATTAGAGATGCCCTTCAAGCCCTTTAATCAATATACAGAAAGAGCAATTTCCTAGACAAGATCCCAAGTATATATGGATGCCGAGAGAATATTTGAGTTTAGAAAACGTTGAGATTACGACGGGTTTGGTTTAAATATTTTGTTTTTCTGCACTTGTTTTATCAATTCCATGTCATTCGGTAAACAGATGCTCAATTAAGATCAAAGTCAAATGTGTTTCACAAAGTCAGCCAGCTACAGCAAAATATTTACGAAAAGTCCAAATTTGTAAAATTCAATTTTAAGGTTTAATTTAAATCTTGACGTTTTTCTGTTTTTGTCTAATTTAAGCCAATGCTTAAAAGCACAATTTATCAAGATCAAATCTGAGCATGCTTGACACTAATCGTCGATCGCCGAAAATTACTTAAGAAGAATTTATTTTTCAAAAAGTTTTTAATTCTTTAAAGCGTTTCAGAAGTTTCACTGAGATAAATTTGGTGTCTCCTTTATCATTTTTTACTTCGGGTTTCATTTCCATATTTTGCTTCCGTCCATTTCAAGTCACTGAATAAAAGCATACTGCATCAAGATCAAAGCTGACCATGAATCATACTGATACTGAATGGAAGCAAAGTCTTCAAGAATATTTCATCTTTTTTTGAATTTCCTTGTTTTAGAAAACCTTTCAGAAGCTTCAGTGAGATTAATTTAGTATCTCCTTTATCATTTCAAACTTCAGGTTTAGTTTAACTATGTTACCTTTCCTGGACTTCTTCGTCATTTGGTCGATGAAAGCAAATTCTTCAAGAAGTTTACCATTATAGAAAACGTTTCAGAAGTTTCAGTGAGATCAATTTAGTATCAACTGAATACGTTTCACAATGACAGTAAATCACAGCAAATTATTGAAGATTGTATTTTTTCAAAAGGTTCCTAATTTTCGGAAACGTTTCAGAAGTTTCACTCACATGAAGTTCTTGTCTTCTTCACCTTCTAAAGGTGGGATTAGTTTACATATTTTCCTTTTTCTGGATTTCCTTCATCCATTTCAAGTCATTGATTGCAGATGATTGGATGCATACTCTATTAAAATCAAGGCAGAATACTGTTCACACAGATAGTCAACACAGCAAATTACTTAAGAGAATTCAAAATTTGTAAGGCGAGGGAGAATTGGTGCCGCGTTTGTCACTGTAACTTCAGGTTCAATTTAAATGTTTTGTTTTTCCTGGACTTCTTTCGTCAAATTTGAACAATGCTTAAAAGGATAGACAATGCTAACAAGGTCAATCACAAATTCCTCAAGAATATTCTCTAATACGTAGAACAACCGATAAACTTTCTGAATTCGGAACTGAGTTGTTTTTTTTTCATTTATAAAGCACTTTTGTAAGTATTGTACTCTTTCGAGGTGTGTTTTCTAGTGCAACTTTGGCCTCGCATTAAATCACTTGATTGCGTCGAGTTTCAACAAATGATCAAACGTAGATCAAGATCAAAGTTCACGTCGTTTCACACTGATATTCAATTAGAGACCCGCGAGTACCCTGATATTACTAGTTTTTTCACGTTTTAATGATAAATAATGGCGAAACTATCAACATTTCAGCTGTGTTTAAGGAGACAATAAAAACGTTTAAAAATGTGGACATTTTAATAAACAATGCTGGAATAATGGATGATTCAGTGTGGGAAAAGGAAATTGCCATAAATGTGGTGAGTATTGGAATTTATAAATATATTCCAATATACATATATTTTAGATTGGGTTCCAAAGTATAAAATGAAAAGTAAACTGCACAAGCTCTTTTATTAACTAACATTATTTAAATGAGAAAGTATCGACAGTGTGCAAATAATCCCAGCAAATTAATTAATTTACAACGGTTTATTTTAGAATGGTACAATAATTGGAATTCTTCTGGGATTGGAAAACTACATACAAAGATACAAATCCGGAAGCGAAGGGCTCATTCTGAATGTATCGTCTATTGCCGGAATAGCGCCATTCGCATTTGTGCCAATTTACGCTGGAACTAAGTTTGCTGTTTACGGTCTAACTATATCATGGGGTTTACCAGCTCATTACGAAAGAACCAAAGTTAGAGTGGTAGGCGTGTGTCCAGGATCGACAGTTACGCCGTTAATAACGGACCTACCAAACAGAAATTTGGGGCCTGCCTACGAGAAACTAAGACCGATAGAATGCGGCTTGGTGGTAAATCAAGGGTAAGCTACTAAACCGGCAAAAGGTTTCTAAAAATCTGGAATATATTTTTGATTTTAGCCCTGAGGAAGCGGCTGTTCAAGTAATGTCGGTTATTGAAAGAGCTCCTTCGGGAACCATGTGGGTGGTTGAAGGAGGCAAAGCACCCTTCAAGTTTCAATTACCCGACCGATTGGTAGGACCGAAAACATTTCTTCCGTAACAACCTTTACAGGATATAATGTTTACAATCACATTTATTGTACGTTTCATTAATAAACTGGGGTTTGCTTCAGATTTTTAACTTGTAATGTAGAATTGTGACGTGAATTAAACTGTAATGCTGTTTATTGAAGAATTTTATAATTATTCTTTGGTTAAATGTCACTTACTATGACTCCATGAAGGCAGAAGTATGTGGTTTCAAATATAGCCTAAAGGCCCAAGAAGCTCAACAGTTTCATTGTATCTGTTTCAAAGAACACAACTTTGCTGTGGTTTACAATTTGGCATACAATTTATTTGGATTTCCTACACATTTCGTTCCGATAGGATTCAGTTGATTGAAATCAGCAACTTTTCTGAGACAAAAACTAGAAGAGTCCGCCAATTCCAATAGTGGATAGAACCATAGATGAATGTTTTTAAATCAAACTAGCAGAGCATTTGGACGAGAATTAATCTCAACGAGTCGGAACCGAATGGTTTTTGATATGCCACAAGCAGAATTCAAAGAATCCAAAGTGCCAGAATCGCACTTAATTTATCTACGTCAAAGCTGGCTAAGCCTTTTCTGGATGGCCGATGGTAATAAAAGGATCTGCTTTATGAAACCATTCTTCATAGAAACTGATTTATTACCGGTCTGACCTTTCCCAGGATATAATACTTCACGTTTGACAAAGTTAAGCATTTAGAAGCGAAAAATTCTTGTACAAAGGAAAGCGAACGGGGCGAATGGTATATAAGTGTCCCCTTTTATTAGAGGACGCTTCAGGTCTTTTTCGGCTCTTTATTTCGCAATATCGCATTTAATGTGGCGTGTTTAGGCCGCAACTTATTAGTACGCATCCGTAACTATTGCGCAATCCTATGCCGAATCCCTGGGATCATCGTAAAGTCTGGAGTTTTTATTTTTTGTTGAATGCAATGAAAAATAAAGCACTTGACGAAGATGGAATATTTAAGATTACTGAACTCAGCAATCCAAAAATGCTTTAAGCTATTTATATACATAACAAATTACAAAATAAATAATTTTATTAATCACTCGCTGTGTCTTTGGCTTGTCTTCTTTCTCAACCTCATGGGGATTGAAAACATAGGGAATATTCTTGAAATAGTACTTACTCTTATAATTCCTTCATCCTCTACTGACATAAACCTGAAACAACAAAAAATATATTATTTTCTGCTAAGTTGATAGTGTTAATTCTCCAAATATGCCATTTCTAATCTAGATTGATTAAATTGCAACATTTTAGGAACATATTTACTCCAATCAATCTACATTTACGGGATAGGTAATAAACATCATTCCCTTCACTGGAAACATTTCAATTCTCTTTAGAGATTCATGCTTTTCTGGAAAATATGTTCTTAAAGGTTCAAAGCCACATTTAATGCTATCTAGATTAATGGACTATAATTATTAATTTTTCAAGTTTAAATAGGACAAAACAAATTACTTTGTAACATTGGCCAAAAAAGATTTTGTTTATCGTGAATATATTTTTATTATTACATAGGTATCTTATTTTAACTAATCTAAATAGTCTAATTAAATGACTTAGTTATTTAAAGTAATGAAATGCCGATGTTTTTGTATAGTTTTTACGAAGTTTACTTTTTCAATATTGAACTTGCTTATGAGTCATTTGTTAGTATCTTACCATGAAAAAGCTTACCGTCAAATGTAATAAACACTATAAAAGAATAAATAAGCAAAATTTTGTCCAGATAATGGCCCTAATTTCTGTTTAAAAAATCCTGATTGGGACTTAAGTAGACTTTAAAACTCTCTTGAGAAAAAATCGCATAGAAAAGTGAAGATTTGCATCACAAACCGACAATTTTCTTAAAATTCAATTGACAAATTAATAGGTAGAATGCGAATTAATTGCGAAAGCACAATATTAAAAGGGAATTTCCTGAGCTTTAAATTCCTGTTTCTTGAATGGATTAGTTTCAATTTGAGCATAGTACTGTGGATATACGAGGACCACATTTGTGGTAGAATCACCCAATAGAGAATCCGTTTTCAGCTACTTTGCAGGAACTAAGTTCGAATCGTGATAAGGACAAAAGGCTGGTATTAAAGGTAGAATAGCATTTTTCTAGCGATGAGGCCATTATATTTTTATTCGTTTTAAGTAGACGCAAATAATCTCACATCTAATTATCTGAAAAAATTTAATTATTTAAATCGTTCAAGCTCATTTTACATAATAGATTTGTGACCCGCAGCAATTCAATGTACCGATACGCAATCCACATGTGCTAATACGCTGATAATTTGGTTATCTATTACATAAAACAAATAATTACAATTAGAAAATCTCGTAAATTCATTTTTTTATAACATATATGAAGAAACAACCAAATAAGAAATTATTAATGTTTTCGCAGAATTACTGTCTGTACTGACGTATTTAAACAGCCGATAAGCTCAATCGCAAAAATGTTTGTAATTATCGACGAAATATTGGGCCAGAATATGGGCAAAAGACGTGGCGGTAAATCTGCTGACTAATAACAAATCCAATGAAGAGGGATTTTTTTAAATTCCATTTTAAACTTCTCTTTTTCTCAGACTATGAAGTCTTTTTTACCGATTTAAAATATCCGTTGAAGTTTTCTGGGATTTTAAGACTGTTGCCTCATAATGCTCACCTTCGATAATGTTCATCGCAGATGTAAACGAAACGTTAGGAAGCAATTTCAATGGCCTGGCCCATGGCTTATAGGTCGTGAAAACTTTGCTCCGTTCCTTCTGCTGTAAATTTAAATGCATCCATCATTGGAATGCTACAGAGGTTTCTTAGGAGTAAACTACCAATAATTTAAGTGGTTTCAGCCTTTAAAATTTTGTCTGGAGATAAATGAGTCTGAGAGTTTTAGATGTTGTTGAATTATCTGCAAATGCTTTCGCACCAGTTTATGCAGCCTTCAACTTTGCAATTCATGGTTTGACTAACCATGTGGTTTACCCGCTCATTACAAAAGAACCAAAGTTTGAATAATGGGAGTTTGACCAGGATGACCTCCTGATCTCCAAAAACTTAGGTTTAGAGAACCAGAGGCGAAGATGTAAATTATGGGAAGAGGAATGGCAAAGGCGAGCTCAAACGCGTTAAAATTTTTGTTTCAATGGTATTTTGCAACACTGAAGAAACTGCATTTTCGAGACTCGTAATGACTGTTCCTTCTCCTTCCACCATATCTGAAAAAGTTCACAATTTTCACAAAAATACCTCGTAATTTCGAGTTCTTTCAGGTATTCAATAGGAATAAATTGCGAAAGCTGGACTAAACAGATAAAAGCATGAAAGTAATTGAAATAAGCCAATTTCAGTAAAGATGAGATATTTACGACTGAGGACGAAGAAAACGGCACAACTGAAACTGGTTTGTGTTAGTTTTAGATTACAAATATTGTGTGTTATCTCTGTAAAAAATTAAGTTTGTTTTCATTTAATCCCAGTAAATTTTTAAATCTTAGAGGCCAGCCTATGCCAGATAGCCTGGAAAATTGTGGCAAAACCTATTACATGTTTAATGAACAATAGTAATTTTATTCGGGTAACAATTTACAATAATCCTGGTGCATTGGCTTTTTGAGTCCCGCAGCTTTAATCGTATTAACAGCACGAGCTGATTTTTCACCAATGATTTACAAACGATCAAGATTAACTGCAAGTGCAAAGTTTCGATGATAACTTTCCTCTTGACGTGATCAATGCTTTTCAATGGTTGTAAACAAGTGTGTCAAAATAATGCAGCTTTGATTGGCTAAAACAAGCGTTGCAAAATGCTTTTAGCTGCACACGTATGATTTTTCATTTCTTTACATCTTTGATGGAAAAACTGCGATTCGAACTGCTACTGATAAACGCTTGAACCCAATTAATCAATGATTAATGCCGGATTCCCCAATATAAACTTTTATTAAGGAACAAATAAATTAAAAAAAGGCGTTATTTAAAAAATCAACCTGAAAAACCCGTCCCTATTTACAGGCCAACGGTTTCAAATGGATCGTGTCATGGGAACATGGAAATTGTTCACGTAATGAATTATTTAAACTTTAAAAGTTCCTATTACTGATTCAACTGTATGCTGACGTTTTTCCAGCCGCAACAAGTTGTACATATGTTTTTTTAGAAATTTTCACTGAACCGAACGCCCTTTTTGCCCCAGTTGAACCGAACTTGGCGTTGCTTGGTTTGTCGATTTTACCGTTAAATTATTAAACTGGTGGATTTGGAAATAAACATTACAATTCCAGCTTTTGGTCATGTTAGCTTATTTAATTAATTATTCATCAATTAGTTTGCTAATTAAAACTCTTAAATTCTGGTTGTATTTTGGTTTTTGGATATTCACCTCCTCCACTTTCATTTGCTGCCTTTATATTTTACTCTCTGCCTAACAGAAAGTTTTTAGGAAGTGGGAAAAGTGAGTGTCGATAACATGGGGGTGTAATAATATTATACAACCTATTCACTATTTGCGATATAATTTTTTTCCAATAAGATAAAACGTGCTAACTGGGGTTGGTGGTGGTATAAATATTCCGCGTATGTTGAATGGTGGATGGATGGATGAAAATGGAACTTTAATTGCTCCTTATTGAACTAAACATAAAAAGACCGTAGTATGCCTATTAAAAAATATTTGTAGTAAATGTGACAATTATTAGCTCCGGTTTCCTCTAAATAAAAGAACAATGACCCTGTAAGAATGAATTGCATATGCCAGGAATTGTCAAAATATTTACTCTCGTTCAAGTTCCTATTTAAATTTTAGCTTAAAAGTGCTTATCTGGTAAACTACTTTCATTGTTTTTCGGGTTATCTATTTCACAGATTCGTTTCTTGGAAATGGCAATGAAGTTACGCACAAAATACGTAAATTTTTCATTCCGCATCTACTCTACAAATAAAATGGTTTCTTTCAATATAAAAGGAAAAGTTGCTATTGTTACGGGCGGTGCATCTGGACTGGGCTTTTAATGTGCTCTTCAGTTGTTAAAGAGGCAAGCTAAGGTATGAGTTAACTCAATGAAAAATGTGTTTTCTTGTGAAAATTGCTGCAAAAGCGCAAACCAATCCAGAGTTAAAATAATTTAAAATTCAATACCTTATACAGGTTTTCAGTAAAGTTTACAGACAAAAATACCATTTCAGGGCGTTGTTCTAGCAGATGTATCGCCTGAACTTGGAAGTCAAGCAGTTGAGAAGCTTGAGAGCGAGTTTGGTCCCCAGAAGGTTATTTTTGTCAAAATATGTAACTAACTAAAATATATAAATATGTGATTATAAAGAATTGGAGGGTATGCATCACGACACTTGAGCAGATTTGCGAAATGAATTATCGTTGAAATTATAATTAAATTATTTAAAGTCACGCGCCCAAACTTTGCTTATAAACGCACTGAAAACAGACTTTTATTGTCATTATCAAATAATTTTATTTATCAGCATATTCGCGAATGTCGACATTTTAATAAACAAAGCAAGAATATTGAATGATTCAATTTGGCGGCAAGAAATTTCCATTAATTTGGTGAGTATAATCATGATCACGTATTATTTTAAACTAATTTTGAAAAATGCGTTTTTAACGAGACCTACATATTTAAAGAGCCAAGTCGTTTCCTATCAAAAAAACTGTACAAACATTAGATTAGATATCTTTGCTTTAGAATGGAACAATTCATGGCGTTATCTTGGGCTTGGATAATTACATTAAGAACTTCAAGTCAGGAGATGAAGGCCTGATAGTAAATATATCATCTCTAGCTGGAATAGCTCCGATAGCTCTAATGCCATCCGATGTATCTACCAAATTTGCAGTCCATGGTTTAACATTGCCTTGGGGTGCATCCGAACATTACGATCGAACAAAAGTGTGTACAAGTTGGAGTTTGTCCAGGAATTACAATAACTCCTCTAATAACAGAAGTTTCGAACAAAAGTTACAAACCGGAATACGAGCAACTGCGTGGCTCACCGGCTGATTCCCCTGTACAAAAGTACGTATAAATGACAGGTTTGTTTTGTAAAAGTCTGAGTTGAATTTTAGTCCTGAAGTTGTGGCTCCGCATGTGATCACAGTCATCGAAAAGGCTCCATCGGGAACTATGTGGGTAGTTGAAGGCGG